ATAATTTATCTCTTGGAATTTCATGATACAAAAGACTTAAACTTGAGCTAAACTTGACTTATGGAAGAACTTTCATAAAGACAACTGATTGTTAGTAATGATTCATATACTATAGTTTGGCTTACAGTTTTGCCTGGAATCTGCTTTTACAGGAAATATATCTCTGCACTTGAGATTGGTTCACGCCATAGATGGTGGTCCATGTGAAGGTCCCTCCTATAATAATTGTCCAGAATGTGTGCCTTTGCAAAGGGTTAGGATTAAAACTAAATGAAAAAAAAAAGGAAAGAAAGAAAAAGAAAACAAATCTGAACTGTTGGCAAAAGACTAAAGAAAATCCTCCTAGAATATTTTATGAAGCAAGCATAAATATGTACAAATTTTTTAAATAATACAAAGAGTAGAAATACTTGTAACCTAAGTTTAGTGAAGTAAAAATTGTTATAGATATGGAAATTTTAGATGGGATTGGGGGAAAATGAATGTTCTGATCATTCTGAGCATTTATATAAATTGTTCTTCCATGATCTTAGGCAACTATCGTTTAAACATCTGCCATGCTGTAATCAGAGAAGAGCATGAAACAGAGACAGAGACAGAGAGAGAGAGAGAGAGAAAACAAAAGATACAAAAACAAAAGATGTTCCAAAGTGTACCACAGCAATAAATATGGTACTGAAATGAACACAAAATTAGCACATTTTGTATATATCATTCATCTCCTAGCACATGTTTAATCATAGGTCTAATTTATATTCAAGCTCAAGGAGTCAGTCAATTAATGCAGTTTAAAGGTTTTCACTTCCTAAAACTACCATATGTCATTATATGCTTTCTTAAAATGCTGTGTGAACAAGCTAAATACTAATAGATTAAAACCACTTTATAACATGCACATAAGTCCAAAATATTGTTACAAAGAGAGCACCACTTTTACATTTGAAATATCTTTTAACACTTTTTAATGCATCACCTTGGAAGGAAAAATTCTGTTCATCTCTGACATGAAAACACGAGCTTAAAAACTTTCTGCACGATTAGCTTCACTAATTGGACACTTTCTGAAAATTATGAAATTCTGCAAATCCTTTTTAAATTGCATATCAGGTGAATAAAGTGTTCTGATTTTATGTATATTCTGGCATTCCAATAGAAATGTGAGACTCTCTATTCCACTGTCTAACATGTAATATTAAAGTCTAAAAGTTTCAAGAGTGTTAACCTTTTCTCCCGTACAGAAAGCAGCTATTTTATTAGCTAATGGAAGTTGAGAGCCAAAAGGAGTCAGAGATCCATCTTAGGGATGTAAGACAAGATTTAAAACATACAATCCAGTGGCTTTAAGCCATAGAGAACACATATAGCAAATACCAGCACATATCTTCCATCTCTTCATTTATCTCAACCAGAGAAGATATTTTGTCACTATATTCTCAAACATGTTAGAATAACAAGGGATATTCTTGGAAAGACTGAAACACAAGACTTTTCATTATTACTTAATGGTTGGCAACTGTCAAAGTTAAGGTTATAAAAACATCTAGTCTTTTATTTTTTAGGATCTCTTATTGCTATATATGCTGTCATTTTAAAGCTGCAATATGTGTACTTTTGTATAAAGTGAGTTATCTTGCAGAAAAAATGATTGGTTCCATACTCTTCCCTCAGCTTGGCCTGCCAGGAAGAGATTCAGGAGTAATCAGAAGTAGCCATGGATTGTTTCTGCTTCCTGGTATCTCTTGCCCCTCTTCTGTTAACAACAGCCCAGGTTTGCTTTGGGGGAAACTACCATTTCTCCATTAAATAGTCTAAATGGCTATCCATCAAAATTTCTTGCTCTACCCTACCCAAGGATTGGAACCAAGACCCAAACTAAGCCAACTGAAGGCTCTCTTCCTTAGAATCTGAATCTTGAGGTAAAAGGGAAAAAAAAATTATTGAAAAAGGTTGAATTTTGATTTGCTGAAATTCCATTTCAGCAAATTAACACATTAACCCTGCACAACTTCTAAAAAATCTCTTCTCAAACTTTGATACCTATTTTCAGAAGACCAGCCACCAAGTGCAAAATGGTATTTCTTTCTTCTTGCCAGTGACTTCAGATTGCCTGTCTCAAAGTAGGGCTAAAGAGAAAATAAGCCAGTCCAGGTCAAAATAAGCCCCTCTGCACATTGAACATGAAGCACTAAGACGATACCATTGATCCAAAAGGGAAGGTGTTTTAAATAGTCTTTTAAATTGTGTAATATATGTGGGATGAAATATCTAGGTTCTCCATTGTTCTTTCTTTAAGACACCTCTTTAAGACATGTTATATCATGTGCCACACTGTCACTTGAGGAATCAGCCTCAACTTTTCTAGTCAATTCTCAAGAAATAATGTATAATATTATATAATGTATATTATACAATATATATACATACATATATTATAATATATAATAATAACACACTATATATTGCCAGGACAATATCAAAAGAGGAACTTTCTAGGTGGGTTGAAAAAAAGAATTGTCAAAATGGAATCACATTCTTTGTTTGTCTCTTGAGATGCCTTTTTTTCTCATCTTTCCACTGTACTCCAGACTTTAAGAAAATGCTCTTTTTCT